CCAGAAGGAGTGCCTCTACCTGTCTGGAATAGTCTGGGAAGGCCTTTGAATAAGAGGTTATGCTTGATCTGCCTCTTAATATACACGAGTGTACTTATCTGTTAAAAGACAAGGATGTCTGACATGGTACATGTAAGGAGCTAGAACAGCTCACTCAAAGATACAGAAGCAAGAAATGGCATGATGTGTTTGGAGAACTGTCAGTACTTAGGCATTGCTGTAATGTATTGTGCAAAGTCAGGAATATCAGGAAAAGAAGCTGAAGTATGCTGGGACCTCATCTCAAAGAGCATTTCCTTGTTTATTAATTTCTTCAGAGACACCTTTGTAAGAGGCTACCAGGTGTATTGGTTAATAATGCAGATCTTGTAATCAAAGAAAACACATAATTTCAAGAGAGTCATCAAAGCGCTTTATTCAAAGTATTGCCCATAGCTATAGTTACACATTTCCCCATCTTTCAGGGAACTTGTGGATACCGTCCCAATGGAACTTTTCTTGTTTTGAGGCAAACCATTCAGAGACCCAGTTTTCCACTTCATACGTTTTGAAGTGCTGCTCTAGAAAGCATGTGCCATGCATGGAACAGATGGTAATATAAAGGAGCAAGGTTTGATGAATATGGCGGGTGGGTTAATACTTCCCAGGCAAAGACCTTTTACCGTGTCTTTAACTGGTTTTGAAGTATGTGATGGTACGTTATCATGAAGCAAAATTACTTTGCCATGTCTTCGGGCACATTCTGGTCGTTTCACGATCAACGTGTGGTTCAAATTGATTATTTGTTGTTGGCAGCAAACAGTATTAACTGTTTCACCTTGTTTTAGAAGCTCATAATACACCACACCTTCGTGATCCCACCAAACGCAGAGCATTGTCTTCTTTCCAAAGCGATTTGGCCTTGCAGTTGATGTTGATGGTTGACCTGGATCAACCTATGATTTTGTGCATTTGGGATTCTCAAAATAAACCCACTTTTAATATATATATATATATATATATATATTTTAATTGATTTTTTTACAGAGAGGAAGGGAGAGGGAGAGAGAGTTAGAAACATCGATGAAAGAGAAACATCAATCAGCTGCCTCCTGCACACACCCTGCTGGGGATGTGCCTGCAACCAAGGTACATGTCCTTGACCAGAATCAAACCTGGGACCCTTGAGTTCATAGGCTGACACTCTATCCACTGAGCCAAACCAGTTAGAGTGAAATAAATCCACTTTTCATTGCCAGTCACAATTCGATGCAAAAAGGCCTTTCTTTCATGCCATTGAAGCAACATTTTACTGATGACTTTTTGGTTTTCCATTTGTCTTTTGTTCAGTTGATGTAGCACTGATTCTTCTATCTTTAAAATATTTCCCATTGCTTGTAAATGATCAGAAATTGTTTGCTGAGCAACATTTAATCTTTCTGCAAGTTGTTTTTGTGTTTGACACACATTTTCATCCAATATGCTTGCAATTGTTGGTCTTCAAACTTTTTTGGTTGACCTGGACGTTCTTTATCTTTCACATCGAAATCATCGTTTCTAAAGCATTTAAACCAGCGTTCACAAGTGTCTTGAGATGGAACATGTTCACCATAAGCTTCCTGAAATATACAATAACTTTTTCTTCAAAATAAAATAATGAATTAAAACTTCCCGCAAATGCTCTCTTTTTGGCACAAAATTTGACATTTTTAAGCATAAAAATATCTCTGTTAACACTTTCAGCAAATTTGACATATGAAGTTTTGAAGCTTGCTGGCAATACAACAAAATAGCTTAGATATCAAATCGCATATATATCAACATATATGTAACTCCATTTATTGAACAAAATCCTCATTATTAACTGGTACACCTGGTATTTCTATCAAGAGTGTACACATGCACCCACAGCAAGAGGCAATAGGATGGCTTCTGTTAGATTCCTTAGGAGCTCTGAGGACACTGCAGAAAAACTCATCTTATGAGCAAACTAACTATAATATAATAAGAGTTCTTCCTTTTAAGATAACCTAAGAAATCCTTAATAACTGACAGGCAACTTTCAAAAGTGCAGAATATGCCATAAATATTTTTTAGTTCATGGAATAATAATGATGATGATGATGATGTTGGCAGAGGTATTGGTGCCATCAAATCCCTAATAAAATTAATATCATATATAGGATAATACTTAGGTTAGGATTATTGGTCAATTTTTTAAAAACTGAGGTAAAATTTACATACAGTGATAGAGTAGATCTTAAGTTTAAATTCCTTGTATATACATGTACCTCAATCAAGATACAGAATATATTCCTCACCTGGCTTTTTTCACTCAACATAATATTTTTGATATTCATTTATATTGTATCAGTGGTGTGTTCTTTTATTGTTGAATAGAATTTCATTGTATGTGTGTTAATAATTCTCCTGTTTGATGGACATTTGGGTTGTTTTCTATGAATAGTCTTATATAAACCTTCTGTGGACATGTTTTTATATTTCTTGAGTAAATACGGAAGAGTAGAAATTCTGGGTCATAGTTTAGAAGTATGTTTAATTTTATAATGAATGGTTTTTCAAATGATAGAACTGCATACAAGTCCAATTGCTCCATATCTTTGCTCCCATTAGATGTTGTCCTTTTAATTTTAACTATCCTAACAGCTGTGAAATGATATTTCATTATGATTTTAATTTGTATTTCCATGATGACGAAGCACCTTTTCCTATGCTTATTGGCCATTCTTATATCTTCTTCTATAAAGAACTTTGTGGGGTTTTTTGCCCATTTTTAATTGTTTTTGTTGTTGTTACTGTGTGTAAGAGTTATTTAATTATTTCAGACAGACACAGCTTTCTGTCAAATTGATGTTTTGTAAATATTTTCTCCCAGTCTGTAGATTAATTTTACATTTTCTTAATGTCACCTTTAGATTTTTTATTTTATTTTGGTAAAATCTAGTTTATCCATTAAAATTTTTATGGTTAGCGCTTTTTATGTCTTTTCTAAGAAATATTTGCCTACCCCAAAGTTGTAAGAGATTTTCCTATGTATTTTTCTAGAAGTTTTATAATTTTAACTTTTATATTTACTGCGATCTTCTTGAATTAATTATTTGTGAGTATTGTGAGGTAGGGAATGAAATTCATTTTTCCCTATGTTTATCTGGTGTTCCAGCTCCATTTTTTTAAAAAACTTTACTTTCTCCATTCATTTGTATGGGTTCCTTTGTTTAAAATCAATTGGCCATTTATGTATAGGTCTATTTGTATACTTTTTACTCTGTTCCATTGATTTTTAAAAAAATCTTTATGCCAGTACCATATTGTTTTGATTATCCTATATAATAAAAGTATAATATGCAAATCGATTGAATGGCAGAACAACCGGTCAATGGGGGTGGGGCCGGCAATTAGGTGTCTTGAGGCCAGCCATGGTGCATGCCAATGGGCAGAGGGAGGGAATGGTGATGGGATGGGGGTGGGGCAGCAACCAGTGGTTGCAGGACAATGGGGGCTGGCGCCATCCCCTGATCGCCCACCTGATCGCCTCCCGCAGGGGTGACAGCAGCAGCCAGAGGATGATTCAGGGCAGGGCCGCCCAGCACTGTCCCCAGATTGGCCTGCTGGGGTTGCCTCCCGCAGAGGGAGGCCCATGGTGGCCATGGTGCAGTTGGGGGTGGGGCTGACTGCTTGCTGCCCATGCTGTCCAGGTCAGCCCTCCAGTCACCTCCTGCAGAGGGAGGCCAGACTGTGGCTTATTAGGCCCACTCCCCAGTCCCCTAAGTCATCAGTAGGACAACCCCTGAGGGCTCCCGGACTGTGAGAGGGGCCAGGCTGAGTTGAGGGACCCCCCCCCCCTCAGTGCACGAATTTTGTGCACCAGGCCTCTAGTAGCTTTATAAAAAAGAAAAAAGCCTTGTAGTCTGGCAGGTTTCAAGTTTGTTTTATCTTTTCTAGATTCTTTGTTTTTCTGTGTAAATTATTCTGTCAGTTTCTTTTTAAAAAATATATTTTTATTGATTTCAGAGATGAAGGGAGAGGGAGAGAGATAGAAACACCAACGATGAGAGAATATCGTTGATTGGCTGCCTTATGCATGCCCCCATTGAGGATTGAGCCTGAAAACAGGGCATGTTCCCTGATCTGGAATCAGACTGGGACCTGCTGGTTTATAGGTTGACCTCAGTCACTGAGCCTTGCCAGCTGGGCTATCAGCTTCTTTATTTCCATCCCCAAAAATACACCCAGAGCCTTTTGGGATTATGATTGTTATTGCAAAACTACTGACCCATATGTAGAAATATAACTATAGCTTTGTTTATTTACCTTCTATCCTCTGACTTTTAGTTCTAGAAGTTTTTTTGTAGATTTCTAATGATTTTCTACATGAAAATCACGTTATCTATAAATGAAGATAATTTGACCATTTTTAATATGCAAATGTGTAAGAGTCTTTCTCTCTCCCTCCTCCCCTCCCCCTCTCTCTCTCAATTGGAAGAGACCAAGAAAAACCCAAACCTGTAATTAAACCAAAAAAGAAAATAGCTTGGTATTTTTTAATGTTGCTTGTTTCAATGTGGCTGCTACCTTAAATCAGTCTTCTTTAATTGAGGCCATTAATTTTTTTTATGGATATATGTAAGTAATATTCACCCTTGATAGCAGTGGTTTTCTCCTAGTAACCAGCAATCCACTTCACTTTTCTTGGGCCTCAGTTCTACATCTGTAAAATGGTAGATTTGGCCAGATAATTTTCCAACGTCTCTTCCATGCTCTTGTAAGTTCTTCATTTTAGTTCTCAACATATCAAAGGCAGTCAGGCAGGGATGGAAAGCATATTGTATTTCATTATAAATATGCTAGAAAATTGTGAAACAATCAGTTTGGGTTTATTATTAATTCTGATTATCCTGGAAGAATTGTCCCCATTTTATTCCATTTACTGTATTTCTGTGGTTCAGTGTTGAGAGTTTATAGTTAACTCACTTAAAATTTTCTACAACTTTTATTTCTAGGCTTCATAGAGCCCAGTGTGCAATTAAACAGACTCAGGTAACTGTTCAGAAAATTGGAAAAGAAATTGAAGAAAAATTAAGACTCACATCTACAAGCAATGACCTGGTAGGTTTTAAAAATATATTTACCCGTTTACTATCTTGATTTCTACATATAATCATCATATTCTTCTTATAGTAATTTCCTTCCTCCCCCTCCCCCAAAAAACTTTAGGTAGTTTTTCTTTCTTTTTTTCCTTAATGGTTCACTGAGCCTTCTATTGGCATTTAAATGTTGGAAATAAACTTTCACATCTGCTAATAATGTAACATACAAAGTGCCTGCCTTTTTTTTGCTAGATGAAACTTTAGATTACATAGAGATGCTTAGAAGATATTAAAAGCTATTTTATTAATGTCTTATGAATGTGAACTCTAGACATGAACTGTATAGTGATGGAAAAATAGCTGCCAGAAGAAAATAAAAACTTTAGACTTGCTTTAAAAGATGAATTTAAAATTATTTGGATTGAATTTAATAAGCTGGTTTGTAGACAGTGTTCTCTTTTGGGAAAGATTCTTTTAAGGAGGCATTTCCAAAAAAATAGAAAATCCATTCCAAATAGACAGATTTAAGATGTTAGTATGATTATTGGTCTTTGTAGTAGAGAACAAAAATAATACTTTTGGAGTGAAGATTGTGTCTGTGTAAGTGGAATAGTGGTTATAACTAATACACTGAGGTTTTTTCAAAATGAAGCCACATGGCTATGAAGAGCTTTCGATGAAATTTGTGCTTTGAATTATGATGCTTAAAAAAACATTTAAATCCTAAATGAAGCCCTAACTAAAATTTTGTAAGTTATTTGTTTGCACACTATCAACTTGGCAGAAGGCCTTATATCATACCCAAACAGAAATTTCATGTTTCCTTGAAGTTTTGTCCAAGATAATAATTTAATAGATGAGCCATAGAAATGCAGCAATGCAGTTAACTTACACAGACTTCTCTCTCATGGAATCTGAAATTAATGGATGAAAACATATTTAAACTATTCAAATTTTCTGAATTTGATCTATAAATGACAGTTTCATGTAGTTCAGCCTAATATATAAAATGTCTAGTGCTGAACCTGGCACATACAAAACATGGTAGCTGCAATAACTACAGTAATAATACTTTACTTATTATTTATATGACTTCTTGCTTATGGAAAATCTTTTATTTTGGAGGGGCTGTTAAACCACCTCTTATTCAATAAAGGACCAGATTCCAGGCCACAAGTATATTGGAGGAGGAGGAAAAACAGCTAATTTTAATCCTTTCTATATTGTACAAAATGCCACATTTTTAGAACCTTTGGGGAGAAATTGATAGGTTTTATTTTTCTTATTTTTCCTCTTCCAAGTCAAGACTGGGAAATTACTTATTTTATTAAATAACCGCATATGCTTTGTCTCAGTAAGGAAAATGTATGTTTAATCCTATTTTTCTAAATATAAGTGGTGACATGCAGAGCAAGGTGTTAGAGTATATGAGTTAAAGAGGTCAGGTTCAGAGGTCACAGTGTGTTTTTACACTGCCTAATCAACCTGGAAGGAAATCATTGGATTTTTCTGAACTGGAAGTGAACCTAGAAATCATCTAGTCCCCTTAATAACCCCACTTAAAACCACACTCCTCTCAGTACATTCTGTCTTCCTTGCTTTGTCTCCGTAGTATTTATTATCCTTAAACATGCCATATATCACCTATGTATTTTGTTCGACTATAAACTCTGTGAAGGGAGAGAGTTTTGTCTTCCCCTCCACTCCCAGTATTCCCCAATGTCTAGGAAAGTGTTTGATACACAGTAGCTACTCAGTAAATATTTGTTGAGTTTAAAAACGAATCTAGTGTAATCTCCTCTTATAAAAGAACAGAAAAATGGGGCCTGAAGAAAGGAAGCAACTTTCCCATATCATTTGACAAGTAAAGACAGAAATTTTGGTTTACTAGTACTTGTCTCCTTGCAGGGAGTAATTCCATGTACTTGTTCATGATCTACTTTAAGCTTTGCCTGTAGCAAATTAGAAACTTTTAGTATTATCTCTTTTTTCTAGTTCCTTTTCCATATTGGCCCAATGTAAGCATTGGGCCCATTCTAAGCATTTTCAGGGTACAAGAATTAATTGTAATTTTAGCATAAGTAAAAATAGTCAGAAGACATATATGATGCTGAAAAGAATTAGATTATTCTTAAGATCAACCCTATAATAAGAAATTGGGTTTATATTTGATGACTTTCAAAGATTTGGCATCTTCTCACATTATATCAATATCCAACATAATTTTTTGGCATTTAATTATGTTTCTCATGAAATTTCTGCGGTTGTCATCTGGAATTTTTGCTTATATGTTTTAGATTTTGTCATATGCCTTTCCTATATCTGTTGTTTTGTCTTTGATTTTTGAATGTTAATTCAAGTTCACATTCCTGGGGAAAGCCCCTTTGGTAAAAGGCGAAAGATTTATGTGATCTGAAGAGAAACCAGAGCATGGGAAAGCCCCTTTGTTAATGATGAAATATTGTTTTTCTGTGTATGACTAAATTTAATTTGCTAAAAAATTTTAAAGGATTTTTACATCTAGTATATTCATGAAGAATATTGGTCTGTGGTTTTGTTTTCTTGTAATTTTTTTGTCTGCTTTTGTTGTCAGGATAATCTTGGTCACATCAAGAAATTGGGAAGGATTCCCTCTTCTGTTTTCTGGAAGAATATGTATAGAATTGGAATAATTATTAAATGTTTGATAGAATTTAACAATGGAGCCAAATGGGTCTGGAGTTTACTTCATGGATTTTAAAAAATATATATTTTATTGATTTTTTACAGAGAGGAGGAGAGAGGGATAGAGAGCTAGAAACATCAATGAGAGAGAAACATCGACTAGCTGCCTCTTGCACACCCCCTACTGGGGATGTGCCCACAACCAATGTACATGCCCTTGACCGGAATCGAACCTGGGACCTTTCAGTCCGCAGACCGACGCTCTACCACTGAGCCAAACCGGTTTCGGCTACTTCATGGATTTTGAACTAGGAATTCAGTTCTTTAATACTTATAGGGTTATTGAAATTATTTACTTTTTTGTTGTTGTTGTTGATCTTCCCTCTAGGAAATATTTCCCCCATTATTTTTCACAGACAGAATGGAAAGGATGGGAGGTGGGAGAGGGAGAGGGAGAGAAACATTGATGTGAAAGACATACATCTATTGGTTGTCTCTTGAACCCACCCTGATCAGGGAACTGAACCCACGACCCTTCGGTGCCCCAGTTGACGCTCCAGCCACTTGAGTGATCTTTGGTGGTTTGTTTTTCAAGGATTTGTCCATTTCATTTACGAGCTCAATTATTTTAATTTCAAAAAGGTGTCTAGTTTTTTTGTTTGTTTGTTTGTTTTGTTTATCATTACACTAGAGGCTTGGTGCCTGACCTGCACCCTCTTGCAGTCTGAAGCCTCAGGGGATGTCTGACTGACGGCTTAGCAGACCTAAGCCATCAAGTCCATATCCTTAGTGCTGCTCCAGAGGCGGGAGAGGCTCCCACCACCACCATTTCACCATTGCTCTCGCCAGGTGTGAGCCTGCCTTCTGGCTGAGCGGCGCTACCCCCCGGGGAGCACACTGACCACCAGGGGCAGCTCCTGCATTGAGTGTTTGCCCCCTGGAGGTCATAGCAACCAGTCATTCTGCTCTTCAGTTGATTTGCATATTAGCCTTTTATTATATAGGATTGCTATAATGAGCATTTTTTTAAATATCTTTATTGGTCACTCATGTCTCTTAAGAAATGTAGGTTTAAATACTTTTATTTATTTAGTAATACAAATATGTTTGCCCATTAAAAAATTAAGGTCTTTAGTTAGATTTACAGAAAACTTGCAAAGAAAGTTTAGAGTTTCCATATACCTTTCACCAGTTTCATTGGATAATGGTATTTAGAAACAAGATCTGAACACTGGAAGTGCTTGTTGCTAGTGGATTTGTAACTGCTGCCAGGCTCTCTCAGTGGACAGAGCCGATACATACAAGCATCTTTCTATATATATTAAAATAAACACGAGTTTATATGAATATATAAAACTCTAACACCACAGGTTTATTCTAGCCCTCCCCCCTCACTTTATTTGTAGCATCCTTTTCTGATAGTGAGAAACCTGGCTTCGATTTTCTACAATCTCTTTACTTATTTTTTTCACTTCTGATATACATGTAGTTTCAGATTTCTCCCCCTCATTTGTAAATGGGATTTTTGTCTTCTGTTAGGGTGAGAGAGGATGAGTTTTAGATTTATAGAATCATTACAAAGATAGTGCAGAGAGTTATCTCATATACCCCACCCCTACCAGTTTCCCTGTTATTAACATCTTATACATAGAACATTTTTCACAATTAAAGAAGCTGTATTGAGAAGTTATCATTAACTAAAGTTCATCCTTTATTCAGGGTGGAGAGTGAGGAAGGGAGAATTTTTTTTTTTCTTCTGGATACAAGTCATTTTTTGGTATGTGTGTTATGAATATTTTCTTCCAGTCTGTAGCTTTCCCTTACGTGTTTTTAATGATGTTTTTAAAAGAGCAAACGTTTTAAGGTTGATGAGACCCACCAGTGTGTTTGTTTGTTTGTTTGTTTGTTTGTTTATATTATTTGCCCTGTCGGGTGGCTCAGTTGGTTGGAGCACCGTACACCAAAAAGGTTGAGGGTTTGGTCCTAATTGGGACGAGTATGGGAGGCAGCTGATTGATGTTGCTCTTTGAAATGGATGTTTCTCTTCCTCTGTCTCTAAAATCAACAAACATCTTTGAATAAGGATAAAATGAAATTTATTTTCTGTGTTTTTTATAAGAAATCTTTGCCTACACCAAAGTCATGTAAATTTTTTCCTGTGTATTACTCTAGAAGTTTTATAGTTTGGGGCTCTGCATTTATATCTCTGATCCATGTCAAGTTAGTCTTTCCCCATTTAACTGTTTTATAATGTTTGTCTAAAATCAATTGATCATATATGAGTACCAGAGGGCTGGTGCATGATATTTGTGCACTGGATGTGGGGGTCCCTTAGCCCAGCCTGTGCCCTTTCGC